TAATTAGCTACTTGACATTCATCATATTTTCATGCATTATGAGTGATATATTGTGATATTAGGCCTTGGTTATCGTGTGATTGTACATCATTTTGTTTGATTTATTAATCTATGATAGAGGTGTTTTTGTCGTTGGTTTTGCAAGAAATATGCCCAAAAAAGCGTTGAAAATGAAATCGGGACGAAAAACGGCGAAAACGGGTGCAGAAGAGGTCACACGACTCGTGTGGGTAGTGACACGGGTCGTGTGGGTTGAGAGAATAACAAGTGCAGCTGCGGCTTTTTCACACGGGTCGTGTGGGTTGAGACACGGGTCGTGTGGCCTCACACGACTCGTGTGACCCGGTCGTGTGACCAGTCGTGTGAGTCTGAAAGTTTGCCGAAACGTTGAGAAAAGTCACACGACTCGTGTGGCACGTGCCATACTAGTTCAGCGGGGAATAGGATTCTTGTGCGATTTCTTCCCTTTTTCGACCCCGAATAGCCCTACAGTATAAAAGAGGCCTTAGGAACTCGTTTTTGGGACTTTTGACACCATTGGAGGCCTAGAGAAAGCACGAAACACACGAGGGATTCGAGGAAGTCAAGATTGAAGATTCGGGAACTAACGGCGAGAATAGTTCTTCTTTCTTTTCTCTTTTTCTTCTTCATTGAACTCATGGATTTATTTATTTTGAGTTTTGAGAATATGTTTAGTAGCTAAACCTATTAGATTCTAGGATTGATTAGTACTCGGATTAATTTATGATTTAGTTTTTATTTCTTTCATTCCGGTTTGTCTTTCGTTTATGAATTTCTTGTGCTTATTTTTATTGTGTGAGTAGATGGCCACTATGAATGCATATTTGTAATCGATTTGAGACCGAGAGGAGATAATTGATTGCTAGAATTGGGAGATTTATAACGTAAGAGAATAAACAGACCGAGAGGTTGATAGGACCTTGCGAGAGAACGAAAATTCTAGGAACTTATGGGAGTTAGTTGTTCATCTTGAGACCGAGAGGAGATAGATAACAATTAATATCTACGATTTGACTTGTTCGATAGAAAGGCTTGAAATCAATTTAGCGATTATCTCTACGATTGGTAAAATTAAATAAGGTTTGTTTGAATATAAACATTTCATGAATTAATTCCGAGGAACGCTTAGCCTAAAATCTACCTTTTGTTTCTTTGTTTATTTTTATTTTTATTTTTAGTTAGATTAGTTCTTAGTTTAATTTCTTAGTTAATAAACATCATCCAATTCATTAGTCTAGATAATATTTAGTCGTCATTATTTTAGTACTTAATTAATTTAACTACAATTTCTGTGGAATACGACCTTGCTCGCCACTACCTATAGCTACTCCGTACACTTGCGGATAGTGAAAATAATTAGCGAACACTACTTCAGCTGAATAATCTTAGTAGAGAAATAAATAGAAATTTGGCGGTAATTTTTTACTTAATTTTGTCTCAAGTCAATCTATGAATTTTGTTGAACTTAAACGAATTGAGTTGAGCTCGGGAGTTATTTCTTCTTAATCAAACCGAGCATGATATAGCTTTGACATGCCAAACCCAAACTCATATAAAATGTAACGAGTAAATTCTAGACAATTTTTATAAAATGAGTTGAATTGAAGTTGAATGGATACAAGTTACAACATGTTATACTCGACATGAATAATATAATTATCTACAAGCATTAATTCCTTGATCCTGATCTAATTGTTCATTGTATATTGTGTACCTTCAAATATGTAAATTATATCAGTTAATTGAATATGTAAAATTGATTAGATACTTGAGCAATTATACTTTTTTGACAAATTATAAGTAAACATTTTAGGTTGTCTGTAAATAGTGTAACATTTTAATGTGAAATTTGTTATATTTTCTATTTTGAAGGAAGGGATATGATATACATAGTAACGCGGAGATTAAGTAGGTGAGCCTAGTTGTCACAGGTGTTGATAGGAGTAACTAATTAGAATGTTAAATAATGTCAAGTTTCTCTATTTAGTCAATGTTTAATAACTCAGAATAAGTGATATTCCAACAAAATCAACATTTTTTTAGCAAAATGCTATAACTAGAGATGTTATTCAAATTGAGCTATTCGTGAATACAATTAGTCGACTCGTGAAAGGTTGAACACAGTTTTTAAACGAAAACAACTCATTTATTTATTTATATTTTTCTATAAGTTTTGAACGACCAATCGAACTGAGAAAGTTTGAACACAAATTTTAAACGAGAACAACTCGTTTATTTATATTTTTTTATAAGTTTTGAACGAACAACCGAGCAAAATAGCAAATGCACAAATCTTATTCATATTAGTTATCATCTTGAGGTTTTCGCGAGTT